CCCCCTTGATCCCCTACAGCCCCACCCCCTTTATCCCCCACAGCCCCACCCCTTTGATCCCCCACAGCCCCACCCCCTTGATCCCCCACAGCCCCACCCCCTTGATCCCCCACAGCCCCACCCCCTTGATCCCTCACAGCCCCACCCCCTTGATCCCCCACAGCCCCACCCCCTTGATCCCCCGCAGCCCCTCCTCCGTGATCCCCCACGACCCCTCCCCCTTGACCCCCATTAGCTCCTCCCCCACTTGAACCCCCATAGCCCCTCCCCCTCTTGAACCCCCATAGCCCCTCCCCCTCGACCCCCCTACAGCACTTCAATCCTTGACCCCCCCCCCCCAGAGCAGGATGGTGAGAGGTGACGTCAGCTTGAGGAGGCTGGAGAAGGCCCTCATCCAGCAGTGGATAGACCACGCCCACTGGTGACGATGATGACGATGACGATGGTGATGACGAGTTACGTTGGCCCCCAGGTGCCACGGTGCCTATGAGATGTTAACTACCTCGCCTGGTCTACAGGAGGTCTGTGTCTCTCTCTCATCATCATCACAGTGGCTATGAGATGTTGACTACCTCGCCTGGTCTACAGGAGGTCTGTGTCTCTCTCTCATCATCATCAAAGTGGCTATGAGATGTTGACTACCTCGCCTGGTGTACAGGAGGTCTGTGTCTCTCTCTCATCATCATCAAAGTGGCTATGAGATGTTGACTACCTCGCCTGGTGTACAGGAGGTCTGTGTCTCTAACCATCATCATCACAGTGGCTATGAGATGTTGACTACCTCGCCTGGTATACAGGAGGTCTGTGTCTCTAACCATCATCATCACAGTGGCTATGAGATGTTGACTACCTCGCCTGGTATACAGGAGGTCTGTGTCTCTAACCATCATCATCACAGTGGCTATGAGATGTTGACTACCTCGCTTGGTATACAGGAGGTCTGTGTCTCTCTCTCATCATCATCATCACAGTGGCTGAGATGTTGACTACCTCACCTGGTGTACAGGAGATCTGTGTTTCTCTCTCTCTCATCATCATCATCACCACGGTGGCTATGAGATGTTGACTACCTCGCCTGGTATACAGGAGGTCTGTGTCTCTCTCTCATCATCATCATCACAGTGGCTATGAGATGTTGACTACCTCGCCTGGTGTACAGGAGGTCTGTGTCTCTCATCATCATCATCACAGTGGCTATGAGATGTTGACTACCTCGCCTGGTGTACAGGAGGTCTGTGTCTCTCTCTCTCATCATCATCACAGTGGCTATGAGATGTTGACTACCTCGCCTGATCTACAGGAGGTCTGTGTGTCTCTCTCTCTCTCATCATCATCACGGTGGCTATGAGATGTTGACTACCTCGCCTGGTGTACAGGAGGTCTGTGTCTCTCTCTCTCATCATCATCATCACAGTGGCTATTAGATGTTAACTACCTCGCCAGGTGTACAGGAGGTCTGTGTCTCTCTCTCATCATCATCATCACGGTGGCTATGAGATGTTAACTACCTCGCAAGGTATACAGGAGGTCTGTGTCTCTCTCATCATCATCATCACAGTGGCTATGAGATGTTAACTACCTCACCTGGTCTACAGGAGGTCTGTCTCTCTCTCTCTCTCAGCATCATCACGGTGGCTAGGAGATGTTGACTACCTCGCCTGGTGTACAGGAGGTCTATGTCTCTCTCTCATCATCATCACAGTGGCTGAGATGTTGACTACCTCGCTTGGTGTACAGGAGGTCTGTGTCTCTCTCATCATCATCACGATGTATAGGAGATGTTGACTACCTCGCCTGGTGTGCAGGAGGTCGCGGGTTCGATACCGACCCTGACTATGTCTGCTGCTGCTGTATATTTGGAGTCTGTGTCTCTCTCTCATCATCATCATCTCGGTGGCTATGAGATGTTGACTACCTCGCCAGGTATACAGGAGGTCGTGGGTTCAATCCAGACCTCTGACGATGCCTGCTGCTGCTACTGTATATTTGGAGTCTGCGTCTCTCTCTCTCTCTCATCATCATCATCACAGTGGCTAGGAGATGTTGACTACCTCGCCAGGTATACAGGACGTCTGTGTCTCTCTCATCATCATCATCATCACGGTGGCTAGGAGATGTTGACTACCTCGCCTGGTCTACAGGAGGTCTGTGTCTCTCTCTCTCATCATCATCATCACAGTGGCTAGGAGATGTTGACTACCTCGCCAGGTATACAGGACGTCTGTGTCTCTCTCATCATCATCATCATCACGGTGGCTAGGAGATGTTGACTACCTCGCCTGGTCTACAGGAGGTCTGTGTCTCTCTCTCTCATCATCATCATCACGGTGGCTAGGAGATGTTGACTACCTCGCCTGGTGTACAGGAGGTCTGTGTCTCTCTCTCTCATCATCATCATCACAGTGGCTATGAGATGTTGACTACCTCGCATGATCTACAGGAGGTCTGTGTGTCTCTCTCTCTCTCATCATCATCACGGTGGCTATGAGATGTTGACTACCTCGCCTGGTGTACAGGAGGTCTGTGTCTCTCTCTCTCATCATCATCATCACAGTGGCTATTAGATGTTAACTACCTCGCCAGGTGTACAGGAGGTCTGTGTCTCTCTCTCATCATCATCATCACGGTGGCTATGAGATGTTAACTACCTCGCAAGGTATACAGGAGGTCTGTGTCTCTCTCATCATCATCATCATCACAGTGGCTATGAGATGTTAACTACCTCACCTGGTCTACAGGAGGTCTGTCTCTCTCTCTCTCTCAGCATCATCACGGTGGCTAGGAGATGTTGACTACCTCGCCTGGTGTACAGGAGGTCTATGTCTCTCTCTCATCATCATCACAGTGGCTGAGATGTTGACTACCTCGCTTGGTGTACAGGAGGTCTGTGTCTCTCTCATCATCATCACGATGTATAGGAGATGTTGACTACCTCGCAGGTGTGCAGGAGGTCGCGGGTTCGATACCGACCCTGACTATGTCTGCTGCTGCTGTATATTTGGAGTCTGTGTCTCTCTCTCATCATCATCATCATCTCGGTGGCTATGAGATGTTGACTACCTCGCCAGGTATACAGGAGGTCGTGGGTTCAATCCAGACCTCTGACGATGCCTGCTGCTGCTACTGTATATTTGGAGTCTGCGTCTCTCTCTCTCTCTCATCATCATCATCACAGTGGCTAGGAGATGTTGACTACCTCGCCAGGTATACAGGACGTCTGTGTCTCTCTCATCATCATCATCATCATCACGGTGGCTAGGAGATGTTGACTACCTCGCCTGGTCTACAGGAGGTCTGTGTCTCTCTCTCTCATCATCATCATCACGGTGGCTAGGAGATGTTAACTACCTCGCCTGGTATACAGGAGGTCTGTGTCTCTCATCATCATCATCACAGTGGACTAGGAGATGTTGACTACCTCGCCTGGTGTACAGGAGGCCGTGGGTTCAATCCCGACCACTGACGATGCCTTCTGCTGCTGCTGCTGTATATTTGATCTCTCTGTGCGTGTGCGTGTCTCTCTCTGTCTCTCTCTCTCTCCTCCCCTGTGGCGGTCGGCACGCGTTCAGGGTACTTTGCCTGCCGCTAGACATCCCCCTACGTGGCTACGGCCATGGCGACAAGCCGCCAATCGCTCGAGATGCTTGCAGTCGAGACAGCCCTGGGGGTGGCCTGCGATTCTGAAACAAAGAAGCCACCCCCACGACCCCCCCCAGTAGCCCGGTAGAGGGGCCCTCACAGCTGGTGACAATGGAATTAGTTTTTATTTATTTTATTTTAGTCAGCGTGGGTCTCTCAGCGTGAGACTCTCAGCGTGAGACTCTCAGCGTGAGACTCTCAGAGTGAGACTCTCAGCGTGAGACTCTCAGCGTGAGACTCTCAGCGGAGACTCTCAACGGAGACTCTCAACGGAGACTCTCAGTAGAGACTCTCAACGTGAGACTCTCAGCGTGAGACTCTCAACGTGAGACTCTCAGCGTGAGACTCTCAGCGTGAGACTCTCAGCGTGAGACTCTCAGAGTGAGACTCTCAGCGTGAGACTCTCAGCGTGAGACTCTCAGAGTGAGACTCTCAGAGTGAGACTCTCAGAGTGAGATTCTCAGAGTGAGACTCTCAGAGTGAGACTCTCAGAGTGAGACTCTCAGCGTGAGACTCTCAGCCTGAGACTCTCAGCGTGAGACTCTCAGAGTGAGACTCTCAGCGTGAGACTCTCAGCCTGAGACTCTCAGAGTGAGACTCTCAGAGTGAGACTCTCAGCGTGAGACTCTCAGAGTGAGACTCTCAGAGTGAGACTCTCAACGGAGACTCTCAGAGTGAGACTCTCAGCGTGAGACTCTCAGAGTGAGACTCTCAGAGTGAGACTCTCAGCGTGAGACTCTCAGCCTGAGACTCTCAGCGTGAGACTCTCAGAGTGAGACTCTCAGAGTGAGACTCTCAGAGTGAGACTCTCAGCGGGGACTCTCAGAGTGAGACTCTCAGCGTGAGACTCTCAGAGTGAGACTCTCAGAGTGAGACTCTCAGAGTGAGACTCTCAACGTGAGACTCTCAACGGAGACTCTCAGAGTGAGACTCTCAGAGTGAGACTCTCAACGTGAGACTCTCAACGGAGACTCTCAGAGTGAGACTCTCAGCGTGAGACTCTCAGCGTGAGACTCCACAGAGACTCTCAGCGTGAGACTCTCAGCGTGAGACTCCACAGAGACTCTCAGCGTGAGACTCTCAGCGTGAGACTCCACAGAGACTCTCAGCATGAGACTCTCAGAGTGAGACTCTCAGAGTGAGACTCTCAGCGTGAGACTCTCAGCGTGAGACTCTCAGCGTGAGACTCTCAGCCTGAGACTCTCAACGTGAGACTCTCAACGTGAGACTCTCAACGTGAGACTCTCAGAGTGAGACTCTCAGCGTGAGACTCTCAGCGTGAGACTCTCAGAGTGAGACTCTCAGCCTGAGACTCTCAGCCTGAGACTCTCAGCGTGAGACTCTCAGCGTGAGACTCTCAGCGTGAGACTCTCAGTGTGAGACTCTCAGCGTGAGACTCTCAGCCTGAGACTCTCAGCCTGAGACTCTCAGCCTGAGACTCTCAGCCTGAGGCTCTCAGCGTGAGACTCTCAGCGTGAGACTCTCAGCGTGAGACTCTCAGCGTGAGACTCTCAACGTGAGACTCTCAGCGTGAGACTCTCAACGTGAGACTCTCAGCGTGAGACTCTCAACGTGAGACTCTCAGCGTGAGACTCTCAGAGTGAGACTCTCAGCGTGAGACTCTCAGCGTGAGACTCTCAGCGTGAGACTCTCAGCCTGAGACTCTCAGCCTGAGACTCTCAGCGTGAGACTCTCAACGTGAGACTCTCAACGGAGACTCTCAGAGTGAGACTCTCAGCGTGAGACTCTCAGCCTGAGACTCTCAGCCTGAGACTCTCAGCGTGAGACTCTCAGCGTGAGACTCTCAGCGTGAGACTCTCAGCGTGAGACTCTCAGCGTGAGACTCTCAGCGTGAGACTCTCAGCGTGAGACTCTCAGAGTGAGACTCTCAGCGTGAGACTCTCAGCGTGAGACTCTCAGCGTGAGACTCTCAGCGTGAGACTCTCAGCGTGAGACTCTCAGCGTGAGACTCTCAGCGTGAGACTCTCAGCGTGAGACTCTCAGCGTGAGACTCTCAGCGTGAGACTCTCAGCGTGAGACTCTCAGCGTGAGACTCTCAGCGTGAGACTCTCAGCCTGAGACTCTCAACGTGAGACTTTCAACGTGAGACTCTCAGAGTGAGACTCTCAACGTGAGACTCTCAGCGTGAGACTCTCAGAGTGAGATTCTCAGCGTGAGACTCTCAACGTGAGACTCTCAGAGTGAGACTCTCAGCGTGAGACTCTCAGCGTGAGTCTCTCAGCGTGAGACTCTCAGAGTGAGACTCTCAGAGTGAGACTCTCAGAGTGAGACTCTCAGCGTGAGACTCTCAGCGTGAGACTCTCAGAGTGAGACTCTCAGAGTGAGACTCTCAGAGTGAGACTCTCAGCGTGAGACTCTCAGAGTGAGACTCTCAGCGTGAGACTCTCAGAGTGAGACTCTCAGAGTGAGACTCTCAGCGTGAGACTCTCAACGGAGACTCTCAGCTGTGAGACTCTCAGCTGTGAGACTCTCAGCGTGAGACTCTCAACGTGAGACTCTCAGAGTGAGACTCTCAGCGTGAGACTCTCAGCGTGAGACTCTCAGAGTGAGACTCTCAGCGTGAGACTCTCAGCGTGAGACTCTCAGCTGAGACTCTCAGCTGAGACTCTCAGCGTGAGACTCTCAGCGTGAGACTCTCAGAGTGAGACTCTCAGCGTGAGACTCTCAACGTGAGACTCTCAACGTGAGACTCTCAGCTTGAGACTCTCAGAGTGAGACTCTCAGCTGAGACTCTCAGAGTGAGACCCTCAGCCTGAGACTCTCAGCGTGAGACTCTCAGCGTGAGACTCTCAGCGTGAGACTCTCAGCGTGAGACTCTCAGCGTGAGACTCTCAGCGTGAGACCCTCAGCTGTGAGACTCTCAGCGGAGACTCTCAGCGGAGACTCTCAACGGAGACTCTCAACGGAGACTCTCAGAGTGAGACTCTCAACGGAGACTCTCAACGGAGACTCTCAGCGTGAGACTCTCAGCGTGAGACTCTCAGCGTGAGACTCTCAACGTGAGACTCTCAGCCTGAGACTCTCAGCCTGAGACTCTCAGCGTGAGACTCTCAACGGAGACTCTCAGAGTGAGACTCTCAGCGTGAGACTCTCAACGTGAGACTCTCAGCGTGAGACTCTCAGAGTGAGACTCTCAGCGTGAGACTCTCAACGGAGACTCTCAACGTGAGACTCTCAACGTGAGACTCTCAGCGTGAGACTCTCTCAGCTGAGAGACTCTCAGCGTGAGACTCTCAGCTGAGAGAGTCTCACGCTGAGAGTCTCAACGGAGACTCTCAACGGAGACTCTCAACGGAGACTCTCAACGGAGACTCTCAGAGTGAGACTCTCAGCGTGAGACTCTCAGCGTGAGACTCTCAGCGTGAGACTCTCAGAGTCTCTCAGAGGAGACTCTCAGCGTGAGACTCTCAGCCTGAGACTCTCAGCGTGAGACTCTCAGCCTGAGACTCTCAGCGTGAGACTCTCAGCGTGAGACTCTCAGCGTGAGACTCTCAGCGTGAGACTCTCAGCGTGAGACTCTCAGCGTGAGACTCTCAGCGTGAGACTCTCAGAGTGAGACTCTCAGCGTGAGACTCTCAGCGTGAGACTCTCAGCGTGAGACTCTCAGAGTGAGACTCTCAGCGTGAGACTCTCAGCGTGAGACTCTCAGTGGAGACTCTCAGAGTGAGACTCTCAGCGTGAGACTCTCAGTGGAGACTCTCAGCGAAGACTCTCAACGTGAGGATCTCAGCGGAGACTCTCAGCGAAGACTCTCAGAGTGAGACTCTCAGTGGAGACTCTCAGAGTGAGACTCTCAGCGTGAGACTCTCAGCCTGAGACTCTCAACGTGAGACTCTCAACGTGAGACTCTCAGCGTGAGACTCTCAGCGTGAGACTCTCAGAGTGAGACTCTCAGAGTGAGACTCTCAGAGTGAGACCCTCAGCGTGAGACTCTCAGAGTGAGACTCTCAGAGTGAGACTCTCAGCGTGAGACTCTCAACGTGAGACTCTCAACGTGAGACTCTCAGCGTGAGACTCTCAACGTGAGACTCTCAGCGTGAGACTCTCAACGTGAGACTCTCAGCCTGAGACTCTCAGCGTGAGACTCTCAGCGTGAGACTCCACAGAGACTCTCAACGTGAGACTCTCAGCGTGAGCCTCTCAGCGTGAGACTCTCAGCGTGAGACTCTCAGAGTGAGACTCTCAGCGTGAGACTCTCAGAGTGAGACTCTCAACGTGAGACTCTCAGCGTGAGACTCTCAGCGTGAGACTCTCAGAGTGAGACTCTCAGAGTGAGACTCTCAGAGTGAGACTCTCAGCGTGAGACTCTCAGAGTGAGACTCTCAACGTGAGACCCTCAGCGTGAGACTCTCAGCGTGAGACTCTCAGCGTGAGAGTCTCAGCGGAGACTCTCAACGGAGACTCTCAACGTGAGACTCCGCGAACCTCCTGCACACCAGGCGAGGTAGTCAACATCTCATAGCCAACGTGATGATGATGATGATGAGAGAGAGAGAGACACAGACTCCAAATATGCAGCAGCAGCAGCAGGCATCGCCAGGGTCGGCATCGAACCCACGACCTCCTGCACACCGGGCGAGGTAATCAACATCTCCACGGCTTGACGGAGGTGGTGGGTGGGGGGTGGGTGATGCAGGGCGAGTTCACCTTTGCCCGCAGGTCCTCGATGATGGGGTAGTAGGCGCTGTAGTCCTTGGAGGAGCCCCCCTTGCCCTTCAGCAGCTCCTTGATCTTCAGCTCCAGCTCCTGGTTGGCTCCCTCCAGGAAGCGCACCTGTGGGCCGAAGAGCAACACCGCCCGTGGCTTTAGGTAGGCGTCGGCTTGGAGGAGATGTTGACTACCTCGCCTGGTACGCAGGAGGGTCGTGGGTTCGATCTCGACCCTGACGATGCCTGCTGCTGCTGTATATTTGGAGTCTGCGTCTCTCTCTCATCATCATCACGGTGGACTAGGAGATGTTGACTACCTCGCCTGGTACGCAGGAGATAGTGGGGTCTAGCCGGACACCCTGACTATGCCTGCTGCTGCTGCTGTATATTTGGAGTCTGTGTGTCTCTCTCTCATCATCATCATCATCATCACGGTGGACTAGGAGATGTTGACTACCTCGCCTGGTACACAGGAGATCGTGGGGTCTAGCCCGACACCCTGACTATGCCTGGTGCTGCTGTATATCTGGAGTCTGCGTCTCTCTCTCTCATCATTATCACGGTGGACTAGGAGATGTTGACTACCTCGCCTGGTGTGCAGGAGGTCTGTGTCTCTCTCTCATCATCATCATTATCACGGTGGACTAGGAGATGTTGACTACCTCGCCTGGTACGCAGGAGATCGTGGGGTCTAGCCGGACACCCTGACTATGCCTGCTGCTGCTACTGCTGTGTATTTGTGGAGTCTGCGTCTCTCTCTCATCATCATCATCACGGTGGACTAGGAGATGTTGACTACCTCGCCTGGTACGCAGGAGATCGTGGGTTCGATGCCAACCCTGACCATGCCTGCTGCTGCTACTGCTGTGTATTTGTGGAGTCTGCGTCTCTCTCTCTCTCTCATCATCATCATCACGGTGGACTAGGAGATGTTGACTACCTCGCCTGGTACGCAGGAGATCGTGGGGTCTAGCCCGACCCCGACTATGCCTCCTGCTGCTGCTGTATATTTGGAGTCTGCGTCTCTCTCTCTCTCATCATCACGGTGGACTAGGAGATGTTGACTACCTCGCCTGGTACGCAGGAGATCGTGGGGTCTAGCCCGACACCCTGACTATGCCTGGTGCTGCTGTAGATTTGGAGTCTGTGCCTCTCTCTCTCTCTCTCATCATCATCATCACGGTGGCTAAGAGATGTTGACTACCTCGCCTGGTACGCAGGAGATCGTGGGGTCTAGCCGGACACCCTGACTATGCCTGCTGCTGCTACTGCTGTGTATTTGTGGAGTCTGCGTGTCTCTCTCTCTCTCATCATCATCATTATCATCACGGTGGACTAGGAGATGTTGACTACCTCGCCTGGTACGCAGGAGATCGTGGGGTCTAGCCCGACACCCTGACTATGCCTGCTGCTGCTGTATATTTGGAGTCTGTGTCTCTCTCTCTCTCATCATCATCAGGGTGGATAGGAGATGTTGACTACCTCGCCTGGTGTGCAGGAGGTCGTGGGTTCGATCCCGACCCTGACTATGCCTGCTGCTGCTACTGCTGCTGTATATTTGGAGTCTGCGTCTCTCTCTCATCATCATCACGTTGGCTAGGAGATGTTGACTACCTCGCCTGGTATGCAGGAGATCGTGGGTTCGATCAAGACCCTGACGATGCCTGCTGCTGCTGCTGTGTATTTGGAGTCTGCGTCTCTCTCTCATCATCATCATCACGGTGGACTAAGAGATGTTGACTACCTCGCCTGGTGTACAGGAGGTCGTGGGTTCGATCCCGACTCCTAAATGCCCGCTGCTGCTGTATATCTGGAGTCTGCCTCTCTCTCTCATTATCATCATCAGGGTGGCTATGAGATGTTGACTACCTCGCCTGATGTGCAGGAGGTCGTGGGTTCGATACCGACCCTGACGATGCCTGCTGCTGCTGCTGTAAATTTGAAGTCTGTGTCTCTCTCCGGGCCCTCCTCGGATTCTTATTCCCCCCCATCCACGTTTAGCATCAACATCACCCACGCGTCGTAGAGAATTTGGCTGCTGTTGTAGATGATGATGATGATGATCATCATCATGAGGAGGAGGAGGAGGAGGATAAGCCACTCGGGTGAGCTGATGATAGCAGCTCACCTCTTTAGCTATATAGCTGTGTGGGGCGCATAACCTGGCGAAATGAAATTTGAAGAGTAGTTTATAGTAGAGTCTGGCTCATCGAGTCAAAGGTGTTAACACGGCAGCTGCCTTAAGCTGTCTCTACGAGCATTGGATATATGATATAAACCGCAAGCCTATACAGTAAGCTGCAGGACAATAGGTCACGCACAAGGCAACAAAGACAAAGATCCCCCGTGTAGCCTCTAACAGGCTGCAGGGGGCAAGTGCTGTTAGCTGGCACCTCACACACAGACAAAGATCCCCCGTGTAGCCTCTAACAGACTGCAGGTGCAAGTGCTGTTAGTAGCGAGTAGCAGCAGCAGCCTATGAAGGCTACCGGCACTGTGGCACACACAGAGGGGGTGGGTGGCCAGCACCACGCCCGGCCGCCTTTGTCTCCCCTATGACGATGTTTACTGCACACCGCTACACCAGCTACTCAGTTGAGGCTGAGTCGACCTAGGGGGAGGCCCAGGTCCGGTTCAGATAATCGTCACCGGTGTTGGCCGTGAGCGGGAATCGAACTCGGGTATCTGGTTTCGAAGAGCACTACAGCTCCCAGTCATCACCACCTGAATCATCAACACCATCATCAACATCTTCAACGTCATCAACATCATCATCATGAACACCAACATCATCAACTCCATCACCTCCATCACGTCCACCAACTCCATCACCTCCACCAACTCCATCACCTCCACCAACTCCATCACCTCCACCAACTCCATCACCTCCACCAACTCCATCACCTCCACCAACTCCATCACCTCCACCAACTCCATCAACTCCACCAACTCCATCAACTCCACCAACTCCATCAACTCCATCAACTCCACCACCTCCATCACCTCCATCACCTCCACCAACTCCATCACCACCACCAACTCCATCACCTCCACCAACTCTATAACCTCCACCAACTCTATAACCTCCACCAACTCCATCACCTCCACCAACTCCATCACCTCCATCAACTCCATCACCTCCACCAACTCCATCACCACCACCAACTCCATCACCTCCACCAACTCCATAACCTCCACCACCTCCATCAACGCCATCACCTCCATCATCTCCACCAACTCCACCAACTCCATCAACTCCACCACCTCCATCAACTCCATCACCTCCACCAACTCCATCACCTCCACCAACTCCATCACCTCCACCAACTCCATCACCTCCTCCTCCACCACCGCCACCTCCATCATCACCACCTCCATCATCACTACCTCCACCATCACAACCTCCACCTCCACCACCACCACCACCTCCACCATCACCTCCATCACCTCCATCACCTCCATCACCTCCATCACCTCCATCACCTCCTCCTCCACCATCACCTCCATCACCTCCATCTCCTCCTCCACCACCACCTCCTCCACCATCACAACCACCACCATCACCACCACCACCACCACTGCACCACCACTACCACCACTGCACCACCACTGCACCACCACTGCACCACTACCACCACCACCACCACTACCACCACCACCACTGCACCACCACTGCACCAGCACCACCACCACCACTGCACCACCATCACCACCACCACCGCCGCTCACCTTCTCGATGTACCCGGCCAGGCGATCGTTGAGCCCCTGCATCTCGAGCTTCTCGTCCCCGCCGCTGAGACCGCTCACGTTGAAGTTGCTGAACCCCACCGACGAGGAGCCCCCCCCGAAACCTCCGCCGCTGGCCCCCCCGAATCCGCTGCCCCCATAACCGCTGCCCACGCTGGAGTAGGAGATGCGGGAGACGCTGCCGCTGCCGTAAGCGCTGGCTGACGAGTAGCTTCGGCGAGACATCGCTTAGTTGTGGGTGGTGGTGGTGGTGGTTGGTGGTGGTTGGTGGTGGTGGTGGTGGTGGGTCAGAGGTGGCGGTGCTTTGCCAAAGGAAAGAACAACACAGCGATGGGGCAGGTAGAGAGAGAGAGAGAGAGGATAGTGCGAGATGAGTGGAGGTGGAGGTGGTGGTGCTGATGATGATGATGATGATCAGAAGGTCGATTTGACGGTCTGCGCAGTGCGTTGTAACCGGAGCTATGTGGTGGTTTTATACTCCTGGGTGGGGTGTGGGTGGGGTGTAGGTGTGTGTGTGTGTGGGTGTGTGTAGGTGTGTGTGGGTGTGTAGGTGTGTGTGAAGGTGTGTGTGGAAGTGGGGAGTGAGAGGGAGGGGGGGAGGAGAGGTAGGGGGGAGAGGGAGGTTGATCTGGCAGGACCGGAATGCGGAGATGCGTGGGGGTGGTGATGATGGTGGTGGTGATGGTGGTGGTAGAAGAGGGGGTAGTGGTGGTGGTGGTGATGGTGATTATGATGTTTGAAAGGATGACGATGATGATGGTGATGATGGTGGTGGTGGTGATGGTGGTGGTGGTGATGATGGTGGTGGTGGTGGTGATGATGGTGGTGGTGGTGATGATGGTGGTGGTGATGATGGTGGTGGTGGTGATGATGGTGGTAGAAGAGAGGGTAGTGGTGGTGGTGATGGTGATGATGTTTGAAAGGATGACGATGATGATGGTGATGATGGTGGTGGTGGTGATGGTGGTGGTGATGGTGGTGGTAAAAGAGGGGGTAGTGGTGGTGGTGGTGATGATGTTTGAAAGGATGACGATGATGATGGTGATGATGGTGGTGGTGGTGGTGATGGTGGTGGTGGTGATGATGGTGGTGGTGGTGATGGTGGTGGTGGTGATCGTGGTGGTGGTAAAAGAGGGGGTAGTGGTGGTGGTGGTGATGGTGATGATGTTTGAAAGGATGACGATGGTGATGATGGTGGTGGTGATGATGGTGGTGATGGTGGTGGTAGAAGAGCGGGTAGTGGTGGTGGTGGTGATGGTGATGATGATGTTTGAAAGGATGACGATGATGATGGTGATGATGGTGGTGGTGGTGATGGTGGTGGTGGTGGTGGTGATGGTGGTGGTGATGATGGTCGTGGTGGTGATGGTGGTGGTGGTGGTGGTGATGGTGATGATGTTTGAAAGGATGACGATGATGATGGTGATGATGGTGGTGGTGATGATGGTGGTGGTGGTGATGGTGGTGGTAGAAGAGCGGGTAGTGGTGGTGGTGATGGTGATGATGATGTATGAAAGGATGACGATGATGATGGTGATGATGGTGGTGGTGGTGATGGTGGTGGTGATGGTGGTGGTGATGGTGGTGGTAAAAGAGGGGGTAGTGGTGGTGGTGGTGATGGTGATGATGATGTTTGAATGGGTGACGATGATGATGGTGATGATGGTGGTGGTGGTGATGGTGGTGATGGTGGTGGTGGTGATGGTGGTGGTAGAAGAGGGGGTAGTGGTGATGGTGGTGATGGTGATGATGATGTTTGAAAGGATGATGATGGTGATGATGGTGGTGGTGATGGTGGTGGTGATGGTAGTGGTGGTGGTGATGGTGGTGGTAAAAGAGGGGGTAGTGGTGGTGGTGGTGGTGATGGTGATGATGTTTGAAAGGATGACGATGATGATGGTGATTATGGTGGTGGTGATGATGGTTGAAGGGGTGATGATGATGATGGAGGGAGTAATGGTGGTGGTGATGATGATGATGGTGGTGATGGTGGTGGTGGTGATGATGGTGGTGATGATGATGATGGTGGTGATGATGGTGGTGGTGATGATGGTGGTGGTGGTGCAATGTGCGTCTGTGTCTGTACGAGTGTGTGGGGAGTGGTGGCGCAGCGGTTAGCGCACTGAGCTATGAACCCTGCGGCATGAGTTCGATTCCCGCTCACGGCACCAACAACACCACCCAGTGATGATTATCTGAGCGGGTCCTGGGCCTCCCCTAGGTCGACTCAGCCTCAACTGAGAGCCTGGTGTAGCGGTGTGCAGTGAACATCGCCACTGGGGAGACAAAGGCGGCCGGGCGTGGTGCTGGCCACCCACCCCCTCTGTGTGTGCCACAGTGCCGGTAGCCTTCATAGGTTGCTGCTGCTACTCGCTACTAACAGCACTTGCCCCTGCAGCCTGTTAGAGGCTACACGGGGGACCTGTGTCTGTGTATGTGTGTGAGGTGCCAGCTAACAGCACTTGCCCCTGCAGTCTGTTAGAGGCTACACGGAGGATCTTTGTCTGTGTCTGTGTGTGAGGTGCTAGCTAACAGCACTTGCCCTGCAGTCTGTTAGAGGCTACACGGGGGATCTTTGTCTGTGTCTGTGTGTGAGGTGCTCGCTGACAGCACTTGCCCCTGCAGCCTGTTAGAGGCTACACGGGGGATCTTTTTGTTTGATACGAGTGAGTGAATGATGATGGTGGTCGTGGTGGTAGTGGTGGTAGTGGTGGTAGTGGTGGTGGTAGTGGTGGTAGTGTTTGTGGTAGTGGTGGTAGTGGTGGTGGTGGTAATGGTGGTAGTGGTGGTGATGGTAGTGGTGGTGGTAGTGGCAGTGGTGGTGGTGTTTGCAGGTGTGGCGAATTCCAGTGTGTGTGTGTGTGTGATAGATCAAGAGGCGTGATGGTGCCGATAAGGAGAATCGCTCGGGATGCTCGAATATCCGCCACGCCCGGTGGAGAATTCCCGTGGGTGGGGAGCGGTGGTGCAGCGGTTAGCGCGGCCGGGAGAACTCGACTCGGCTATCATCAGTGGCGGTCTCTCCCCTCCCTCCCTCCCTCCCTCCATCCCTCCCCTCCCTCCCCTCCCTCCCTCCCCTCCCTCCCTCCCTCCCTCCCCTCCCCATCTCCTCACTCCCTCTCTCACCTAGGCCGACTCAGCCTCAACTGAGTAGCTGGTGTTGCGGTGGGCAGTGAACATCGCTAGCACTGGGGGAGAGACAAAGGCGGCCGGGCGTGGTGATGGCCACCCACCCCCTCTGTGTGTGCCACAGTGCCGGTAGCCTTCAGAGGTTGCTGCTGATACTCGCTACTAACAGCACTTGCCCCTGCAGCCTGTTAGAGGCTACACGGGGAACTTTTTGTTTGATACGAGTGAGTGAATGATGATGGTTGGTGGTGGTAGTGGTGGTAGTGGTGGTGGTAATGGTGGTAGTGGTGGTGGTGGTAATGGTGGTGGTGGTAATGGTAGTGGTGGTGGTAGTGGTGGTGATGGTGGTGGTGGTAGTGGTGGTGGCGGTGGAAGTGGTGGTGGTAGCGGTAGTGGTGGTAGTGGTGGTGGTGGTAGTGGTTGTAGTGGTAGTGGTGGTAGTGGTGGTGGTGGTAGTGGTGGTGGTGGTAGTGGTAGTGGTGGTAGTGGTGGTGGTAGTGATGGTTGTAGTGGTGGGAGTGGTGGTAGTGGTGGTGGTGGTAGTGGTGGTAGTGGTGGTAGTGGTGGTGGTGGTAGTGGTGGTAGTGGTGGTGGTGGTGGTAGTGGTGGGAGTGGTGGTGGTAGTGGTGGTAGTGGTGGTGGTGGTAGTGATGGTGGTATTGGTGGTAGTGGTGGTAGTGGTGGTAGTGATGGTGGTAGTGGTGGTAGTGGTGGTGGTAGTGGTGGTAGTGGTGGTGGTGGTAGTGGTGGTGGTGGTAGTGGTAGTGGTGGTAGTGGTGGTGGTAGTGATGGTGGTAGTGGTGGTAGTGGTGGTGGTTGTGGTGGTGGTAGTGGTGGTAGTGGTGGTGGTGGTAATGGTGGTAGTGGTGGTGATGGTAGTGGTGGTGGTAGTGGCAGTGGTGGTGGTAGTGGTGGTGGTGGTGTTTGCAGGTGTGGCGAATTCCAGTGTGTGTGTGTGATAGATCAAGAGGCGTGATGGTGCCGATAAGGAGAATCGCTCGGGATGCTCGAATATCCGCCACGCCCGGTGGAGAATTCCCGTGGGTGGGGAGCGGTGGTGCAGCGGTTAGCGCGGCGGGGAGAACTCGATTCGGCTATCATCAGTGGCGGTCTCTCCCCTCCCTCCCTCCCGTCCCTCCCTCCTTCCCTCCCTCCATCCCTCCCCTCCCTCCCTCCCCTCCCTCCCTCCCCTCCCTCCCCTCCCCACCTCCTCACTCCCTCTCTCCCCTAGGTCGACTCAGCCTCAACTGAGTAGCTGGTGTAGCGGGTGGGCAGTGAACATCGCTAGCACTGGGGGAGAGACAAAGGCGGCCGGGCGTGGTGCTGGTCACCCACCCCCTCTGTGTGTGCCACAGTGCCGGTAGCCTTCATAGGTTGCTGCTGCTACTCGCTACCAACAGCACTTGCCCCTGCAGCCTGTTAGAGGCTACACGGGGGATCTTTGTCTGTGTCTGTGTGTGAGGTGCTAGCTAACACCACTTGCCCCTGTAGTCTGTTAGAGGCTACACGGGGGACCTTTGTCTGTGTCTGTGTGTGAGGTGCTAGCTAACAGCACTTGCCCCTGCAGTCTGTTAGAGGCTACACGGGGGATCTTTGTCTGTGTCTGTGTGTGAGGTGCTCGCTAACAGCACTTGCCCCTGCAGTCTGTTAGAGGCTACACGGGGGATCTTTGTCTGTGTCTGTGTGTGAGGTGCTCGCTAACAGCACTTGCCCCTGCAGTCTGTTAGAGGCTACACGGGGATCCTTTGTCTGTGTGTATGTGTGAGGTGCTAGCTAACAGCACTTGCCCCTGCAGTCTGTTAGAGGCTACACGGGGGATCTTTGTCTGTGTCTGTGTGTGAGGTGCTCGCTAACAGCACTTGCCCCTGCAGTCTGTTAGAGGCTACACGGGGGATCTTTGTCTGTGTCTGTGTGTGAGGTGCTAGCTAACAGCACTTGCCCTACAGTCTGTTAGAGGCTACACGCTGGATCTTTGTTTGTGTCTGTGTGTGAGGTGCTCGCTAACAGCACTTGCCCCTGCAGTCTGTTAGAGGCTACACGGGGGGCCTTTGTCTGTGTCTGTGTGTGAGGTGCCAGCTAACAGCACTTGCCCCTGCAGTCTGTTAGAGGCTACACGGGGGACCTTTGTCTGTGTCTGTGTGTGAGGTGCTAGCTAACAGCACTTGCCCCTGCAGCCTGTTAGAGGCTACACGGGGGATCTTTGTCTGTGTCTGTGTGTGAGGTGCTAGCTAACAGCACTTGCCCCTGCTGCCTGTTAGAGGCTACACGGGGGATCTTTGTCTGTGTCTGTGTGTGAGGTGCTAGCTAACAGCACT